CCTCTCTCTCTCTCTCTAATACGCTTATCTACATCTATTTAACATGGCGGAACCAATAGGAATTGTTATGGGAAGCATAATAATTTGAAAAGGAATGAAATAAGAAAATTAATAATAATTAATATCAGTCTTTTTTTAGAAATTTTTAAATTGGAAAATAAAGAAAAACTAACTACTAATAATACTCAAAATAATAATATAATACTTATATTCTAATACATATACTTATGTATTCTATATCACAATCACATAGTAAATAAAACTCATTGTAAATAAAACTCTCTATAAACATTTTGTAACATTACTTAATTATAAAATGCATAGCCATTTTAAGTTTCTGTGCCAATTCTGATAGACAACACTCTGTCAACATTTATTATTGAGCGCTCAGAGATTTTTAGCATTTTAGCATTTTTTATTATGTTTATTTTAATTACTTAATTATTCTATACTTTTTTCATACTACATGGAATAAAATTAATGAGTTTTCTCTACAAAATAACGTTTGATTTATTTTATTCTGTTCATTCGTTGCTAAGTAATAGTAATTTATATACTTTAGACACTTTCCAATGGTCACTTTGTACATAAGCTCTATGTTCCTATTCAATTTCTTAAAGAATTAATCTTAAAGTTGGAAATGCAGACGTTTACGCTTTTAATTGTATCGTAACTGAGAAATTTACGACCATATGGATAAGACAATTGCCTATCTGGTGTTAGAAAAGGGAAGAAGTGTTCCAGTATAGAAAATTCGCTGTTCTGATCGGAAATGTTTCCGAATAGTTTTATAATAGCTGCTTAGAAAGCAATGACGTCATTGGATTGTCTCCGTCAATAAACAACTTGAATTTATATTAAAATAATAATTAATCACTCTTGGATCGATCCAAATATTTTCAATAAAAAAGCACTATAATTGTAATCAGTTGTATATTTGTCATACAACACATTTAATATTTATCAAAATTTATAGTGTCTTATACATAAGTTTTTATCATGTTATAAATAGTAAACAAATTTATTTTTTATTTTTATCCATATTATTTTATTTTATACATTAAATTATTTTCCTTTTCTATGTTCTAATCTTGGTCTTCCTTTCTTTGTAGTTGGTTTATCTTTTCCTTTGTTTAGTAAGGGATGAGTTTCTGTAAATTGTATCAATAATTATGTAAAAAAATATATATTGCTAACCAATTACTTTTAAACAGAGTCGTGCCGTTAATATATTACCATCAGTTGGCGCCCCTTGCAAATTTATTTCGTGTGAACGGTGTTTTTTCATCGGTGGTTCATGCGATGTTACTTGATTATCTTCAGAATCTTCTACATCTGGAGATATAGGTAAAAATTGAAGAGAACCAATATCTTCAGTTTCCTCGTCAGAACTACAAAATGCAGGAACTCTGTCGATTGCAGCAACATCAACTTCTATTTCTTCGTCTTGAGCCTCTTCTCCTTGCACTACAGACTTATCTTCATCGCTCAAATCAAATTCACTTTCCCTTTCCTCATATTCAACATTTTCATCCAATTCCTTGAAATCTGGTGCAAACGCAGACCAATTTTCTACTTGATTTTGCGCCCAAATAGAAACTACACCTGATGATATAGATGCGATAATTGGCCTTACTGGATGCCACTGTATTGTAAAGAAATATAGAATATTATATTATGAACGATTGAGTCAGAATGTATTTTTTTAATCAAAGATGCAAGAAATATTTTAGCAATATTTATAAATAAATAGTCTTCTTACCACAACATCGAGTAAAAGTTCGCCTTTAGTTCCATGTAAAATTTTCACCAAATTTCCGATACTTTTTTCCCATACGTACAATGCATGTTGTCTGGCCGATCCAGCGCACACATATTCTCCATCACCCGAGAAACAACATTTTTTCCACATTGTTTTATTTACAAGGTCTTGTAATTTTTGAATTGGCTCAGGTTCACCGTCCTTACCGCATGCTAATATTTCGGTACTGTCATATACGCGAATCACTCTATCAGATGTATTTACAAGAAAACCACAGCCTCGTCGTGCAAATTCTATACTCTTTACTGCTGTATTACTAGCAGTGCCTTGCGTTATTTTATAAGAAGCTTTCACAATTAATGTCTCTGCATCTAAAACTAAAACTCTACCACGAGCATTACCAGTATATACATAATCTCCACGTCGATCAAATGATGCTACTATGTTTAAGTCGCTCTAAAACAACATTACAATATTTTAATTAATATATTTTTATTCTAAGACAAATATTATTTTAGAATAAATTTCTAAATTATCTATTTATATAGAGTATAAAAAAACTCAATCAGTGAACTTTTTATAACATTATGCAGTAAAGCTGCAACTAAAAAGCAATAACTTTTGTGACATTTTGCTAATACAAAATTGATCTTAATGTCCAAAAAAATAAACAATTTTATATTTAATTTCTGTCAATTTTGAAACATTCTATATGTATACCTCTTTTTCAATCTTAAATCTTCAATCTTAAATAATTTCATTGTAAACAAATATCATATAAAATATTTCATTAATGCCATAATTATACATTACATACATCTTCATCAAGTGGTATAACTTTATGTGTTCCTTCGACATCAACCATAACTGCAGCATGACGCATTGGGCATACCAAAAACTTGTTGAGATTCCTTGGATGAAACTGCACTTTTAATATTGGAGAAGGAAATCTGTATTTCTGATCACATTCTCCAGATAGAACATCCCATATACATACATTATTATCCGTAGAAGCACTTAATAATTTATGACCATTCCTAGACCAACTAAAAATACAATTTGTTACTTTCTTATTTAGTATTTTATATTTGTTAGACACTATTCAATTTTATTATATAGCAATAATATACTATTGCTTTTATTATTAGATAAAATATAAAGTAATGGATGTAATTTTATTTAATTCTATCTACTTGATTGATACAATTGTAAGAACACACATACACACACACGTCTCTTTATGTATGCACATATATATATATATATATATAATCAACCTATCCTACCTTAATGAACACACAGGATGTACATGAGCACTAATAATTTTAGCTATACCACGAGTTAAAAAATCCCAAATTACAATTCTTCCATCATTGCAACCAACAGCAAGTAATGTTCCTCTCTTGTTAAACATACAAGTTACCGCAAGAGATATACAATCTAATGCACCGTCAAATTCCTACAGAATTAATAATTAAAAGTAGCACATTAAGCTCTATCATTTTATCAATAAGAGCATAATTATTATATAGAATACATACCTCTGGATAGTTTTGCCCAAAAGATTCTGTAAAAAGGTATAAATGTTGAAATGGAGTAAGTTATAAGATACATATTATAATATACTTATATCAGAATATAAACTTGAAAAATGTTAAAATTTAAAATAATTAGATTAAAAATTAAAAAAAAAAAGTTGTATTTTTTATTTACACAGCTGAAAAATGACAAATATAATAATCTATATAGAAAAGAAAAAAATATGATATGCAAATCAAAATCATTCTTTTAATTCTATATATTACATTATTCACTATATTTCAGATTAAATGCATCTTCACATAATCATGTTCCTTGATATGAATTGTGATCAAACAATCCAAAAGGATAGTATCATTGTTACTAAACTAATAAAATTTACATATATATTTTTGCATAAAAGTTAAAATCTGGACAAAGAGTGCTTAGGATATTTTACTATACTCAAAAATTATTCCTATTTGACTTCTACCTTAATATAAAATTTTCTGTCAACTTATCAGAATAAATCAGAATTGTTTACATATTGATATAATATAGCATTTGTTAATTGATATACTTTTTTTACATTTTGTAATTTATTTAGACATTATTTTACATTGACTTGATAATGTCAACTAGATTTGTTAACAACGCTAACCTTTTAAGATCTCATGTTTTAGTGATTATGAAAGATTATAAAACTTAGCAGCTTATCATTTTCAAGTAAAACTATTTTATAAAAGAAATACAATCTTTTGTCACATACAACATCAATTTATCTTCCTCCCTTTTTATCCTAAAGCACAAATTCTGCACAATTTTATGTAAAAATTTCAAGTAAATCAATAAGAAACATTTATTTATCTACAATTTTATTACCTATATTTTCTAAATTATATTTTATTATTGGTAATGCATCTCAAAACAATTATACATTTACCTAACAGTTCCAAATTCATCTTGACTACTTTTGACAATAACAACTTGTTATAAGCTTGTTCGTTTTAGCTGCACTGGGGCAGCTCTGGGTCTGCTCTAAACAAGATAATACAGGACAAACTATTTATCTGTCCTGTATTATCCTGTGTAGAGCAGACCCAGAGCAGCCCCAGTGTAGCTAAAACGAACAAACCCATTGTTTGTCTTTTCAGTGATACAAACTCGAAATCACTGGCTGTCACTGGCACTTATCACCAGTGATGCGCTGTCGTGGGATTTTTTCCCGTACGGAACCTCCGTGCGCATGCGTAAGCTGACGTCACAGCTAGACGTCGGCTGCTACCACAGATGTATCTAGGGGTGCGTTCCACTTAATGGCCGGAGCACAGACTTTTGCATAAAGCATAACGCATAAGCATAAGGAAATTGATTGGTCCATTTCCTTATGCATTTGCTTATGCTTAAGCCGAGAGCACAAGCTTTTACATAAAGCATAACGCATAAGCATAAGGAAATTGATTGGTC